CTGCTTTCCATACATTCACACAGGCGGCCCAGGACCTGGGTTCCCTCAACCAACTGACGCGAGACTCATGCAACCTGCTACAGGCCCAATTTTGTGTGTGTGTGTCTTTTTTTAATTTGTTTTTTATGGTTTTGATTTTTTTTTAAAATACACGAAATTCCAAAAAAATAAAATAAAAAATAAATTGTTGTACATCTTTGAAAGATCTACAACCCTATATTTTTTCTTTGTTTATTTTGTTTTCATTTTAGCCCTTAAAAAATCTGTGTGAAACCCAAAACAAAAACACTCATTTCATTTTAGTTTTTGTTTTTTTTTTGTGTGTTTATGTTTTTGATTTTTTTAAAATAGACTTAAGCACCAAACAATAAAAATAATAATACAGGGTTGAAGTCCTCAACAAAACCTTCAACCATATTTAAAAAAAAAAAAAATTTGGATAATTTTTCGCCCAGGAAAAAAATCATCCCGGACCCCGTTAATTCTCGTCCAACTCGTGTTTGAAAGGGAGTTTAACGTGAATTCAATGCGCGTTGAATTTTTCAACGCGAAACCCGCGTTAAATCCAATTTCGGACACGTTGCTTTGGGTTGATGACAAAGCTTTCTGGAGGACGGAGGAGGGGCGAAGACTTTACAACATCGTCCATGAAACGAGAGAGTACTTTGTCGCCATCGCCAGCGGACTTCCACCGCCTGCGGTCCCTCGGAGCGTCGTACTGCCCAAATCCAGCACAAGGGTAGCCAGGATCGCCGACCAATCACAGCTGCAGCAAGCGATCTCCCGTGCGGCAACAATGGAGAACATTGCTCTGCGCGTCTTGCAGGACTTGGTATTCAAGTCGGGGAACCGCACAAGGGGATACAATGTGGCTTTCCAGTACTCGCTGGAGTCCGTAGCAACAGACATTGCACGTGCTATGTGGTACGGCGAGGAGTGGTGCAACGTCGTCAGTCCAGTGGTTTGCGCGCATACGATAGATCTGTCCATGGACTTGCCACTGTGGTTCGTCGGCGCCAACATCGAGGACAGACCGGACGACGACGACATGGCGGTGCACCAGGAGTCCACCGTAATCTGCGTCGCGCATGCGTTCCTCACGGCGATGCAAATGGGTGCGCTCATCGATGGCGATTTCATCTCGCACGATCGTCTTTGTCGGGTGGCTGACTGCTTTAGGCTGTTATTGGCGGTGTGCATGTGGATAATGCACATGGCGGGAGACGATCCGTGCAGCCACTACGAAGCTTTTTACTTCGCAAGCCTCGTGGCAAAGCCCACACTCATCGCGGTCATGCATCGCTCATTCGATCATGGACGATCCGTCGTCCGCGCCGCAAATGTCGTCACAGAAAGGCTCAGAGGGCGAACGCCAAGTTTGGAGAGTACCCCGACTACATCCCTCAATGGGCACCCTGCGACATTGGTTTCAGGCACGACGCGAGCATAACGGGGCCGGAGGATGCGAAAAAGCTGGATTGGTTGGAATATGTTATTCGTTAAAACAATACATTCTTGTGTGTACTATTTTGAAACGAATTTATAACGCAATGTATAGTCTGGTGGTATTCCAGATCCAGATACATCCGAACCTGGAGTAAAATCAGCTTTGAGACGAGGAGCACAGTCAGTACATATATCTGCTGCGCTCCTCTCGTGGTTCATATGTGTCCAGATGTGGAACACCACAGCATAGTATATTACACTGTGTTATACGCCTCTGAGTTAGTACATGTATCTGCTGCCTCAGTACATATATCGGTTGCGCTCCTCTCCTGGTTCGGATGTGTCCAGATGTGGAACACCACAACAAAGTCATATATTACACAGTATTTTAACTTCACTTGGAGTTTAGCATCATACTCATCCGAATCAGAACAGTATAATGACATGAACTCGAGTTTGTAAGGAGTATAACGAGTTGTGGCTCTTCACAGACTTAGGGCGAGAGAGATAGAAAGAGAGAGAGAGACAGAAAGAGCGAGAAACAGAGTCTCAAAGAGACTGTACTTAATTTTCTCGAGACGCCGCAGAGGAGGCGCAGGTTCGAGCACACGCGTAGACCATCAACCTCGCTTCTTAAAGCATTTTAGATGATTGTTGTAGGAGAGCAGCAAGGTAATGTGAATTTCCAAGACAAGCGAAGTTCGGATGTATCCGAGATCACAGGAGATAGACAAAGAGAGGAAGTCCGCAAGAAATGGTCGTGTACATTAGAAGAGCGAGAGATATAGAAAGAGAGAGAGAGACAGAAAGAGCGAGAGACATAAAGTCTCAAAGAGACTGTACTTCATTTTCTCAAGACGCCGCACAGGAGGCGCAGGGTCGAGCACACGCGTAGATCATCAGCTTCGCTCTTAAAAACATTTTAGATGATCGTTGTAGTAGAGCAGCTTGGCAATGTAAATTTCCAAGATAACCAAAGTTCGGATGTATCCACAGGAGATAGTCAGAGAGATGAAGTCCGCAAGAAATGGCAAAATAGCACGCCAGAGGGCTGAGAGATGGAAAAGACAAGCACCGTATAATCATCCGCAACATTTCATGTTACGGACGTATCCCAAGTGTCGAACCAGTATAGACCCTTAAGTTCGAACCTTCCCTGTGTTTTCTGGGACACATTTCAAGAAATATTTTTTCAGAGAGAGAGAGAGAGAGACAGAGCCAGGGACAGAGAGAGACAGAGAGAGTGTGGATAATCGCACTGAATTTTCTTTTCATGCCGACATGTCGTACAGGAAACGCATGTTCGAGGAACACGCGAAAACCACAAGTGTAGTTGTACAAGAGCTGGAAGGTTTTCGTTAGGTGAGAGTAAGCCAAGTTCGGATGCATCCGAGATGACAGGGGAGAGGGAGTCCGAAGCAAACAACAAATGAGCGTAGTAGACATAGTTGTGGATGTACGTGTGCGAGAGAGAGAGAGAGAGAGAGAGAGAGAGAGAGAGAGAGAGAGACGAAGTTGAATCTTGAAATCCTTTTTCGGAAATTGAGGACCAATCATACAATATTATTTTCTTCTTGAGTGCCATCTCAATTCAGTTTGTGTCACTTTGTAGCACCAACCGGCGAGGAGGGCCAGACGGGCCATCAGAAAGCACCCAGCGCGGAGTGCCAGACGGGCCATCAAATATATAAAGTGGCCCTTGTGTTGTATTTTCGGGCCATAAAAAAACACCCTGTGCGGAGGGCCAGACGGGCCATCAAAAAACACCCAACGCGGAGGGCCAGACAGGCCATCAAATATATAAAGAGGCCCTTGTGTTGTATTTTCGGACCATCAAAAAACACCCAGCGAGGAGGGTCAGACGGGCCATCAAATGTATAAAGAGGCCCTTGTGTTGTATTTTCTTCTCTTTGATGCCTCACAACATTCAAAGTGAAAATGCATAGATGAGTGTAGACGACAAGGAAGGTTCGAGAGAGAGGCAGAAAAGCATAGAGATAGTTGGAGTTCGGATGCATCCGAATATGCGGGCAGAACATCACACCACATAAGACATAAAATGACGAAAGCGAGAAAGTCAATCACGAAACAGGCGCCCCAACAACGGGGACGTTCGTGAGAATTGAAAGCCAATGAGAAAAGCAATATTGTCGACGACAAACATGCCGGGGACATGACAATTTCACCCGGAGATATCCTGGCAGTGACAGCCAGTTCTGCTCTTAACCAAATCGAGAACACCCACCAGTCTTTCGTGGAAAAAATGAAAACGAGCAAATTTCGTCCCGAGAAGAACGAAATGTGCTTCTAAGTCAATCCTTCTACACTACATGATCAACAAAAAGATAGACGCTTACCTACCAATATCGCAAATCGCCAAAGCTAGTCTAACTCTGATAGAGGAGATGTGTTTATGGGAGAAACCAAAAGGTGGAGGTAAACCTCTCGCCAAACAGGAAGCGAACATCAACATGAACACCCCACAACTAGCCCCGTCGTGCTGCGGAGGGACACCTTTCACGCTGACCTCGCGAGCGAAGTGGTTAAAAGTGCGACTATCACCGGCGGCACCTGCCACCGTGTTCAAAAATTCAAAAGATTTATCTAAAAGTGCGTAGTAGAAGTCATCTTTGGATGACGAATACGAGAAATAATCATAAATTTCCAAAACATGTCTAGAGAAGTCAATGGCCAAAAGGCTCCAGTGTTCGCCGTCCTTGTGCACTGGTGCCAAGACGAGGTCATGAGACAGGACGTCCACATCTTTAGCCCATCTACTAACAGTTGCCGGACCTCGCAGAAGCAGTGTAGAGGCGAAGAAAGAGTTAAAGGTGTACGTCTTTTTGGTAGCAGCAGTCCGGCCGCAGTCGTCCAGTAGCATCGCCATGTAGAAATTGACAACCTCATCGTTGAGCTCCCCGGATCCATCCACGAGTGCGACGATGTCCTTGACGGATACCTGTAAATTGTGCGACGGCAAACGCGCGACGATGATAGTGAGCGGCAACCGGGAGCAGATAACGTCTTCAAGGACTGCTCTTACATCTCGAGGAAACCCTGTTCAACAAACATCCGCAGTACACAGCAAGCACAAAGGATGGGGCACTATGAGAAAATGCCGTCCTAGCGGCCATGGTCCGACGAACCGCTACTCTGTGGGCCGAAAAGTTCACGCATAATGTCACCCCTACTTCTGGACCTTCCACACACAGTTGATTCTAAACTAGCATTGTCCTTCTTTATATCCCTGCAAGCCTCGAGAAGGAAATCCTTGCAGCCTTTTTCGGCAACACCCGCTGCCTCTGCAACGAGTCTAGCGCGAGGGCACGGGCACGACAACCCTTCTGGGAGGGCCCCGAGGTTTAGTCTCCCCAGGAAACAAATCAGTGACATTGCGACAACCAGTACCTCCCGCAACCAGGACTGACCACCTGGCGAGGGCAGGCGGCTCCTGCGACATGTGTGTTTGTCCACGAGCTCGTCGACCTGTACAAGAAATAGCCACCCAGACAGTTCAGCAAGAGATCAACAACACAACTTCGGAAGAGCAACCAAGCAAACAGCACCTCACGAAGCACATCGTCACAATCCAGTTGGCGGCCGCCTACACACCTCCCCGAAATCGACGAAGCAAACAACACTTCACGAACGGGCTGACGAGCGTGAAGCAAGCAGAGGAAGACAGTGCTTACCAGGCTTAGCTTCCACGTCACCAGAGCCCACTGATGGCAGTCCCAGCACGATTGGCGCCCCCGTGCACGTCGACGCGGCGACGACGTGCTCCAAACTCACAGGGAAACTTGACAGGTTCGAGATGTCGGCGTCGATGTTTGGAGACGACATGAATTCATCCCCATCTCGATGGCGGAAATCCTCCATGTCCGCGACAGGCAATTTTAGTCTATCCGTCTCCGGACAAAGAGCGTCGACGTCCACAACATCGACAGGTTGGGTTTCCTCCATCGCCACTGTGTCGTATTGTGTTGTGCTCAAGGTCCCATGGATGTCCAACAACACCTCTCCCCCCCTTAACTTCTTGTCCTCGTGTGCTGTGTCTTTATCGTCATCACTCAAATAGAGAAATCTATCTCCAACAGCGTCTGAGGACTTCTTCAGAACGTCCTCTCCCATCGCCTCGTCCTGAAGGCCGGAGTACAAGGGGTCGTCGTATGCCGGCTGAACTGGTTGCTCCATCCCGACGTCGCCGAGTGTCAGATCAATCCGGTCGTCGGTGGAATCGTCCAAAGTCAACAGAAGTCGAAAACCGTCAAGTCCTTCGTCCGTGTGTCTCGGAGGAATCCGAATTAAAGTCGTCTCCGCATCAGGGAGGGACATGCTCACACGGCCCTGGTTCGGATTCATCCGGGGCCCCACAGTTTCCAACGGCGACGACGTGTCCACTTTCACCGAAGAGTCGCTTAAGACTGCTAACTCAGTGTGAACCGTCACCAGGCATTCGGATCCGAGTGTGAGGGGCTCGACATTGAAGCTGGTCACTAACTCACCCTCAGTCGGACAGTCTGCCTGCAGCTCCTTGTGGACTTCCATGCACATCATTACGGCGTCCTGACACCGGTCGTCTGTCATGGAGGACACGTCCTCCTGGTTCGGATGAATCCGAATTTCGCCGCCAGGGTTTTCAGAAACCCGGACCACCCGTTCGAGTTCCGCAGACCGTTGTGCTCCCTCAACGGTACTGGCTTCCCGGTTCGGATTAATCCGAACTTCCTTTTGAGGCGAAACCGAACATGGTTGGAGCTTGTCGTTGCCGGATCCGTGGTATGTTGTCGTCTCGCTTCCCGGAAGGCACTGAGTTCCGGACGACGATGTCGTCTCCGAGGTTCGGATAGATCCGAGACAATCCGCCAACCGTTTTTGGAGCTGAGCGAAGCAAGTTCCATTCTTTGCTACAACTGTCCCGCCAACAGCATCGGTATACTGTGTTGCGCTGGTGGAGCTAATCACAGGGTCCTGCTCGCCAGGCCGCATAATCCACCCAGACCTGAAGTCGTTCCCCATCTCCATTGAGGTGCTGCCTGTCATCGCCAGAACCCCACAGTCCTCGTTGCGGTCGACATCGGACCCCTGCCCGTCTGCTGTGTGATGCTTTGTCTTCTCTCCGCTGCGAGGCTTTTTCTTCTCCCGGCTGCCCTTTTTCCCCTCTCTGCCGCCTGCGTGCCCAGAGACCGCTGTTTCGTTGAACACTGTTCACTTCCACCTCCGGTACCTCGTTGCCCGCTGCCTTCACCATCCCCTTCGCCGTCCTTTCCGCGAGACTTGCACTTCACAACTCCTGCCAGTGGGGTGACCGCAGGCAACTCCCAACTCACTTACTTAATTGACGGGCTTGACGGAAGGGCGTAGAACGCGGAGGACACTTCCAGTCATTTATTTGACTGCAATAAATCGAACAGCGTGTCCCCGTAGTCGCACAGAGCGGGGTCGTCCTTACTTCATCGATTGACCTCACTTAATCTCTCCAATACCGCATCGTAGGCGCGAGATTTGAATGTCTCGAGGTCCCAACGATCGTCATATATCCACCCTCCACTTACGTCCCTCACAGCCACTGCCTAGTCACCGTCGAGAAGGACTGGCTGGAAATGGTCTAGGTGCCACACGATATCATGGCCCCAATCTTCGGGTGTGGAGAAGGTGTGTTTGTCGCCCATGTAGAACGGAGTCGCAGGAGCCTTGAGATGTGGATGGTCCGGAGGAACTGGATGGCTGGGTCAAAGACATTCGGGCTGCGGTGTGAGACGAATAGGCTCCCCCGGCGAACTCCTCAGACGGGACAACCCACCCCTCTTGACAGGCGCTGAGGAGGACACAGGTGTGGAACCGCCCGAGGTGGGTGTAGCGACTCTAGCGAGAGGTGTCCCCGGTTTGCATACTGACGGCGACTCAGAAACTTGGGCGTTGAAGATGTCCAATTGCCCGTCCAAATCGAAGAGGTCGACCTCAACGCTCTCCTTATCCAAAGTGAAGTCGGCCGGATCGACAACATCCTCGTTAAAAAAAACATATTCCAGCCTCTTAATGAAGCTCACAGCGCCGGCCCGACTCGCTCCGTGGTAGCCTTGGAGGACCGCAATGGCGACTTCCTTCGGCACCACGTACTGCGGGTCAAATCTCAACCTTGGTTGTTCGCCGTAAAGGAAGGAGTAGACCTGGCGCCTTTTCTTCGGAGTCAACTTGAAGAACATGTCCTTGTTTTGGTCATAAACGGGCTCGACCACGACATGGTGGAAATCGCATGGGTAACACTTCATGGGTGACATACTGCATGGTGTACTCGAGCTGCATTGTGTCCCCATCCACGGCCAAGACGTGCCTTCCCTGCTGAAGTAGACTCCACACCACCTGCGCGTGCGGCTTGCCCAAAAACAGCATGACATCCACCACACCACAGAAGAAAAGAAGCTAATTGCATAACTGATTCAGATTCCGCTCGCCGTCCTTGTACAGAGCCCCCCTCTGGATGAGGTTTCCGATGTCCGCAAAAGTCAAGGACTTGAAAAACTTCTCCTCCACATCTGTGGGTGTCACTTTTTGTTTCCTCCGGAGAGCGGCGGCGTCGTCTTCAGCAACAGCTCCCTCGTACACCGGGTGAGTCAGTAGCCGAGGATCCTTGCCTTTGAAAAGGATGTGCATCACATCCGGCTCCTCCCAGACGCTGTTTCCGAACTGATGCGTCTTCTTCGATGCCGTCTTCCGAACCCACTTCCCCGTGTAGCATCGGGTAGCCCCAAGCGCAGACAAAGATGTCATGAAGGAGAGGTTCCACAGGCAGGGAACGAATACCACCAATGTCCAGTAGTCCTGAAAAATGAGGCCCAGCAACTCACTCCGAGACCGGAATGCCCCAAAGTCCCATTGCGCACGTTTTACAGTTCCGCACAAGTCGAGCACGCAAGTGTGGGAGCGTAGCTGATGCCCTAGTTTTCCCAGCGCCTCCTTATGATCTTTGGCACTCAATGGGTCGACGTTAAACTGGGCCAGCGTTGTCAAGGCGCTTGTCCTCGTCCACATAATGTTGATGCATTCATCAACGCCCCGCGGGCTTTTTTTGCCTTTGACACGATCTCCAGTGATCACCGAAAGGACGACACGCTTCCACTCCGCCGGGAAATGCTGGTCGTTGACGAGGGCCGCCGTTCTCTTGATGTTGTTGTTGTGTTGACACCCGAGAGACTGAGGGCACTTGTTGACGTACGTGGTATCCGTGAAAAATTTCATGCTCTCGTTCCAAAGTTTGTCGTCGAGACCTCTGTCCTTGAACTCTTCCAACAGTTGTTTCTTGGACCTGAAGAACGTGGAGTTGGCATTCCACTCCCACTTATCCATTTCCTCGTACTCGAACTCCACGTAGTGTCATAGCCTCAGCATAATCTGGTCCATTTTTATTATGTCGACCATCTCCTTGACACTAAACTTCCCCAACTCGGCCAACTTCTTGCTACTCGTTTGAACCCATACGACGTTAAGGTTCAAGACGCCGTTCAACAATCTTTCCTTCTCGCGGTCCGTCAAGTCCACCAATTCCTTCCAGTAGTGGACATCCGGCTCAGGAACTTGGACGTAGAAAGTTTTCTCCTCCGCACCTTTCTTTGGCTTCCCCCTGCCCTTTTACAACAACGGGTCGTCCGCCTTCACGTACCAGACGTGTTTCTTCAACCCCTGGCTGTCAGACACAGTGGAGAGTCCTGGCTTGGCCATCTCCTCATGGGTGGGCGGCTTTTCAGTCGAACGCCGGCCGTCGGAAGCAAGGAGTTTCCCTTTCGACCACTCCTCATAGAACTTCTCCCCCAAAAGCGAAGACGGAGTCATCTGCCATGGCCAGCGGGAGGTAGTATCGAAGTTTTTCAGCCCATTCCTTTCTTTTCTTTTCTTATGTTGACAGGTTCCACAAAGGCGTGTACGGTGTCTTCTTCATAGCCAACGCCATGAACTGCACCCACTTTCGCACCTCGTCCTTTTTCTTCGAGGCATTGCCGAGCACCACACGCGGTTTGCCCTTAATTTTTCAGATATTGCGAATGCCCCGCATAGACAAAACCTGCAAGCGCGGTGGATTCTTCTTGTCTTTCATGCTGTCTTCGCAGCTGACATAGGCGTAGCCGTCGAACTCGTCGTTAGGGAAGTAGATCGCTCTGAATGGCCATTTACAGAAGTTGTAGTACTCAAACACAGGATGGTCCTTCACCTTCATCGGCGCCCTCGCATTATGTTGTCCACACGCAGGATAATACCAGTATTTCTCCGACTGTGAGCTGTCGAAGTCAGCAGGCAGCATGCTCATAGCAGGCTCGCCGTTCTTTGGAGGTGCGACGATCGGAGCGAGAACGAAAATGGGCTTCGTGTATCTCATGTCTTTACGTTCGTAGCAGTCGATCATAGCCGACACGATGGTATCAACGAGGAACTCGTCCAAGGATCGGTGGTTGTCCGCGTCTTCCCAGTCTGGAATAGCTAATATTCTTTCGGGATGGATGTGCAACACGACGTCCCTCTGCACCCCTATCTGCATCTCGAGGAAGAACGCATTGTCGAGGTTAAAGGCGTTGAGGTTAATGTCCACGTCGTCATCCCCCTCCCCGCTGTCGCCCTCATCTACTTTCTTCCCCCTCGATGATTTCGACCGTTTCCCGGAAGACTCACCGGTTCTTCGTCGTGTCGACGAGTCTTTTGGCGTTTCATCCCCACCTCCAACCCTTTTCCTCTTCTCAACGAAACCGCCCTCTCGTGTTGTTGGCGTTCGAGCACTCCCTCCTACCTTTCTCTGCCTTTTTAGAGCACCTACTCCCTCTCGCTTTTCCTCATCCGGCGAGCTGCGCTTGCCTCCCGACAGAGTCTTTTCTGCCGATGTCTCACGGAACATCCCCTGCTCGGACACCTCCTCCTCACCGGCGACGTTCCCACTTGCTTCTCGTTCCTGGCTCAACTCCATCTGCAGTTGCGCAGGCGCAGGTCGGGCGCGGCGAGTCGTCTCATCTGATCCACGCACCTCTCGAACCTGCGGACCACCCGAGCGATCTCCAGGCCAAACCTCGGCCACCTGCATGCCTCGAACGAACGAACCGATCCTTTCGACCAGACCACGAGAAGTCGTCGATTCTGAGCCCTGTCGCATTCGTTCGCCATCGTCGCCCCCACGTGGCGTCGACTCCCCAAGCAAACCTTGGCGGCAAGATCCATGCAAGCCAGGTTTCAACGGAGCACGCGGATGGTCGTCCTTCGAGTCGTCTGACATGCCCACCTCTTGATCAGGAGGCGTAGCTGGCAGGCCACCCTGATCTCCCATCCCCCTTTCAGAGCACTCTCCTCCCGCGAACCCAACAGGACCACTGATCGATGTCCCAGGTCCGACGTCCACGGCACTGACAGAGGTACCAGATATCGCCCAGACCTCGAGGAAGTCTGTCACGTGAACGGCCTCGTCGTGCCCCGGCGCTAGCGGGACAAAGGACGACTGAGACATTGCACGCCGGCCGTACCCGTCGAACATCCTCCCGTCAACCTTGCATCTCTTTGCAATGTCGTCGACGGAACCATCACTTCTGTAATGCTTCTTCAACGTAAACTTGAAATTGTATTCGCCATCGTCGACCCACTGGACGATGGACCCTGCAAGACGCATTCTGTCGGCGCGAACGGCGACGAACAAGAGCGGCCCGCACGGTGGTTGTAACGGGTCGGAGCCGTCCTGGCTCGCCCAGTCCAAATACCAGACACGTTTGCTGTAGTCGCACCACAAGTTTTGAGCCCGTCGTTCTTCCTCCCCACCGCCACCTCCCCGACTCGTTTCCCTTGCCGGCGACGACGTCGTCCCTCGACGCTCCTCTCCATGCGGGGCGGAACCACCAGCGGAGCGGCTTTGTCCATGTGTAGCCATTCCCTGAAACACACGGAGGAAATAAACCCACATTCACTCAGAACAGTCAGCACGTCCCAACATCAACCACGACCCACAACACGTATTCTGTTATTGGTCACCTGAACCCCAAAAGAACGAAGTTCAGTCATAGTTAGTCGACAGTGGTCCACAAGCTTGCACGTTTCGGATGAATCCGAGGCATCGTGAGCCATCCTCGTCACACTGCCCTTAAGAGAACGAATGGTCGAAAACAAAGACCGCGGGATAGATCGGATACATCCGAAGCAGGCGCAGTTGAAAAACCGACGTCACATAGGCACCTGCACCGGGAAAAGCAACACCTCGCAAGAAGGCCCTAGAACGCTGATACAGCAGACGAAGACGTGCACCCCGTGGTGATACGGTGTCATCCGAAGTCGACAAGCGGATTGTAAAGTTCGCCGTTGTAGTTCGGATGCATCCGAGCTCCAAAGCGGTGTGGACCACCCCCTTTCGGCCCGGACCAAACCGAACTCGAGTTTTCTTGTCCTTCTGAGTCGATAACGGTTGTGACTCGGATGCATCCGAATTCGAACAGCGCGGTCCAGAGACGGTCGTCCACAAGAGGTCGCCATCTACAGCACGTGTTTTCGTCGTCGACCTGTGAGCACTGGGTTAACCCTATCCTGCCGGAGGTTTGGTTTGCTTGAACCTGAACTTCGCAAATGTGGCTCGGATTAATCCGAGACGGGGACCGGCGGATGGACCCCACGGTCTGTTGACGCCCATCCAGCGATCCAAGCTTCCGTTATTCCCCAACTATCCTTGGGTCCACCCGAATTTCGCACGGTGTGTCTTCGTCCTTGAGTGTTTAAGACGGGTGTGGCTCGGATTTATCCGATTTCGACAGGGGCTGTCCCGATACGTGCGACCACGACAGGCTAAGCCGACACCGTGTGCTTTCGTCGTACAAGTTTATCAGACCATGCGACGTCGTCAATACCCTTTACGCATGTGGTAAATCCGAAAATGTCATCGGAGTGGTTTGGATTAATCCGACTTCGCCGAGGCGCTTCGGTTTGTTGTCGCCCCACCACACACCGGACCTCCCCGCGATTGCCATAGTGTGTCATTATAATTTGTGCGTCATCACGGGGGATGTCGTCGTCCTCGTGAGTTTTAGCTGGTTGTTGCTCGCCCAATCCAAACAACAGACACGTTTGCTGTAGTCGCAGCACAAGTTTCGAGCTCGTCTTTCTTCCACCCGAGCGTCACCATCTCGACTCGTTTTAGTTGCATGAATCCGAGGCATCGTTAACCCTCGTAATCAGACTGCCCTTCGTAGAGCGAATGGTCGAAGACGAAGACAGCCGGGTAGTTCGGACACATCCGAACTGGGCAGAGTCGAAAGATCGACGTTGTGACTCGGATGCATCCGGATTAGCACAATGCGAGACAGAAATGGCCGACCACAAGAGGAGGCCATCGGCATGGCGTGTTTTCCTCAATGACCTGTGAGCATAGGGCGGACCCTATCGTGTCGGAGGTGTGGTTCGGATTAATCCGAGACGGGGACCGGTGGATGGACGGCATGGTCTGTTCACAGCGTGTGATTTCGTCGTTCACGTTTGTCAGAACGTGCGATGTCGTTAATACTGTCTGAGCATGTGACAAATCCAAATTTGTCGTCGGTGTGGTTCGGATTAATCCGAACTTCGCCGAGGTGCCTCGGTTAGTGGTCGCCCCGTGAGTTTTAGTGGGTTATGGCTCGGATGCAACCGAAATTACCAAGGGTGGCTCGGATACGTTAGTTGTTGCGTCACCACAAGATGGTAAGGACAGGGTGGGCTGTCGTCCTCCTGGTTGGTCAGGCATGTCGCCGTCGACAATGACCTATGAGCATCTGATCGCTCCGTGTCCTGTCCTGTGTCCACGTCAGCGGAAGGGTTCCTCGCGGCGTTCGGCTGACGCGAGGTTTGATAGGGTTTAAAGATTTGAATACACATTCGCCTCCTGTCTCTTCGGATCTGTCGTGGCAGTCTTCGGATTACTGATCTGTGATTGCACTCAGGGGGGACCAACCTAAGATCAGTTGAGCGACTGTCTGCGATACACAAAGATTGGAGAAAGGCAGAAAACACGCATAGACACGGAAGGGAGACCAAGATCGATAGAGACATCGATAAGGAGAGGATGCGCAGATCCTGCGGATGGTGTTGTCCATTTCGAAATTCGCAATGTGACCCATAAATAAAATGGCACAAAAAAAACGTAAGAAAAAATTGCTCGTGTCGGCGAGAGGAAGAGTGACGAAAAATGTGAAAAATTCGACGAATGTGGAGGACAATTTACGGATACAGAACCGAACGCCGAGCGAACTGCACGACGCGACTTACGCGGAAAACGAATAAACAAACCGAGCGAAATAAAAATTAATTCGGCGAGAAGAAAGTCCATGTGCAATCCAGAAGAGACACGATTCGTGACAACCCATGTTCTCGTGTTCGACAACATACGACTAAAATCCTTATATCGCAGTTCGTGAGAGAGACAACAAATTGACGACAAGCAAGTAACACTTCAAGAAAACATTTGAAGTGACGACACAATCTCGAAGGGCGTGTCACAACATTCTCGGGCTACATTCGCGGGTCCCGTTTCATTGGTGACCACTCAGCCCGATTAGATGGCACACTCACACGTCCACGTGTCAGCTCCTGAACATGGGTGGCCACGCTGATGGATGCGGGGCTCTATTCGACAACATTCAATTATCGCATAGAGCCCCGCATCCATCAGCGTGGCCACGCTTGTTCAAGACGTGACACGTGGGCGTCTGAGTGTGCCATCTGATCGGGCCAAGTGATCGCCAATGAAACGCATGCATTCTTGCTCCCGAAACTCCTTCATCTCGCCCCGATCAGATGGCACACTCACACGTCCACATGTCAAGTCCTGAACATGCGTGGCCACGCTGATGGGTGCGGGGCTCTACTGGACAACATTCTCCTGCCGCATAGAGCCTCACATCCATCAGCGTGCACACGCTGGTTTAGGAACTGACACATGAACGTTTGAGTGTGCCATTTGATCGGGGCGAGTGGTCGCCAATGGAACGAGATCCGCAAACGCACCCCGAGGTAAGTTCGGGAAAGAAACAGGCCAGCGCATAAGACGAATGAAATAGAGGCGCTGAAGACAAACTAACGACGGGGACCAAGATGGTAGTTGAACACGATGGCACACACGTCCACGTGTCAAGTCCTGATCATGTGTGGCCACGCTGGTGGGTGCGGGGTTCTATTCGACAACATTTTGTTGCCGCATAGAGCCCCGCATCCATCAGCGTGCCCACGCTAGTTCAGGACCTAACACGTAAACGTGTGAGTGTGCCATCTGATCGGGGCAAGTGGTCGCGAATGGAACGAGATCCACAAACGCACCCCAAGGCAAGTTCGGGAAAGAAACACACCAACGCATAGGCCGAACGAAACAGAGGCACTGAAGAGAAACTAACGACGGGGACGAAGATGGTAGTTGAACACGACGGCACACATGTCCACGTGTCAAGTCCTGATCATGCGTGGCCACGCTGATGGGTGCGGGGCTCTATTCGACAACATTCTGTTGCCACATAGAGCCTCGCATCCATCAGCATGCACACGCTTTTTCAGGACCTGCCACGTGAACGTGTGAGTGTGCCATCTGATCGGGGCGAGTGGTCGCCAATGGAACTAGATTCGCGACACAAAAGACGAACGACATAGAGGCACTGATAGAAAACCAACGACGGGGACGATGATGGTGGTGGAACACGACGCTGTTGGTTCTGTCTCGTTCGTTTGTCTGCGCTTGTCAGTTACGTTCGCAAACTTTGTGCGAACGACACAGACAAGCGCAGTAAAACGAACGAGATAAAAGACAGAAATAGAGATAAATAGAAAGCGAAAGAGAGAGAACGCGACAGAGAGGCGATCTCCGCCTTCATCACACGGCCCAATCAAACATCACGATCAAATGGCCCCGAACATCACCCCGATCACACATCGAACTCACGGAGAGAAATCCTTGTTAGATCACACGACACTGCTCGTTCGCGGCGACTGAACCCAATGTAATCGCTAACGCGCGAATCCCGACTACAGATCGCGTACATGTGTGGGCATTCTGATGGTCTACGCAAACCAAGCATAGCAGGACTTTTCGGGTCGGTGGAGATGGCGAGAGAAAGAGAGACAGAGAGAGAGAGAGAGAGAGAGGGAGGGAGAGAGAGAGAGAGGGAGAGAGAGAGAGGGAGAGAGACAGAGAAAGAGAGAGAGAGAGCGAGACAGAGAGAGAGAGAGAGAGAGCTATATATAGAGAGAGAAAGGTATACAGAGACAGAGAGAGAGAGAGAGCTATATATAGATACAGAGAGCTATATAGAGATAAAGAGAGAGAAAGAGAAAGAGAGAGAGAGAGCTATAGAGAGAGAGAGAGAGAGAAAGAGAGAGACAGAGCCAAATAGAGAGAGAGAGAGGGGGAGTGAGACAGAGAGAGATGAGAAAGGGAGATAGAATGAGAGAGAGAACGCACCTTTTCCTTCCTTGATTTACAATTGTTATTGGAAACAGTGGCCCCGACGACTTGGTTGATGATCTCAAACCGCAATACGACGACGCGTGCCGCGACGCGCGAAAAGGGAGGTACTGACGCGTGAGAGGGCAAATCCGCGAATGGAGATGTGGGAGATTGCGACGCGAAGGAGATGGCGAGGCGAGGGATATGGCGACAAGGGAGAGAGAGAGAAGCGAGGTAGACAGCGAGGGAGACGGCGACGAGATGGCTGTGTCGCTGGCAAGGGCGGGTGGTCCGGGCGCGCGAGGGGCATTTTCGGTCGTGAGGGTTGGCGACACCTGCGATTGCCTGCTACTTCGGACAATTGCAATGCCCACTTGCAAATTCGCGGAATGGCGCAACCGTCATTCGAATGGCGGATACATCCGTGTGGGGCCCAAGAAACGAAAGTGGGTGAAAAAAGTCACGCCGGATGACGCATTGGAACCGTCGATATCATGGTAAAATCCGCGCGGGCCCCGATAATCAAAAGTGGGCGGGAAAATTTGCGCCAGATGATGCGTTGGAACCGTCGATAGCACGGTGAAAAAAGGCTAGTCCTCTCGAAATCACGGCCCGCCCTCCCATGACGGCTCAGGATCGGACGATTTCGTGAGGACGGTCCGTAAAAAAAGGGACCGCCTGATGTCACAGCCCCCGACACGGCAGTCCGCCGTTACAGACCCTGCGGCGGCAGCTGAAGGGCCCCTCAAGCCCCACTCACTACACTCACCGTTCTCCTGTCGGGCACCAAACGAATGGGGGTGGTCGTCACACCCATTCGCTGGTGTCATTTCTTCCGTGTGTTGCCTTTGCGACGCGTCCGCCATCGCTCGAAGTCGCCGGCATCATATCGCAGGCCCTTGCGCATTCAGGCCCTCGTTCTTCCAGCAATCGTCGATAGCGGGGGGCGCGAATGAAAACGTCACGCGTCTGTAGACCTTGCGCGTCGTCCCGTTCGCGCTGTGCTCTTCTTGTGTCGGCTGGAGGCGTTTGTTGACTCGCAGGTCAGTAAGAAGCCCACGCCCCCTGCTCGGCCCCTTCACCATTTCAAGCCCCCACCTCTTCCCATTGCCCTTCCGCTCCTTCGACCGTGCAAGTCTTCTTCTTTGCCACCACCTGCTCCGCCAATCACGCGCGCACGATCTTGAGCACACGACGCCCACCGATCACAACCACAGAAGACCCCATGCAGTGACACACGCTGACGTCATCATCTTGCACATGACTTCAGCGACGGGCAATGGCTTGCGGCTTTCACAGTCACCGCCCTCGAGTCTTGGCGTCCTCAACATCGCTTGTTGGCGTCCTCAACATCGCTTGTTGG